GCGGCCACAGGTTAAGCTGGTGAGAAGCGTAGCGCACAGCGAACGGCCACAGAAAATGGGGTGCACCGGCATGGATCATGGAGGTGCGAGCCACCTCCATGACCAAACCGATGCGTCGCTCAGCGACCCCATTCTGCTGTGGGGAGTCCGGTAGGGTGAACGTCTGGGTGATGCCCTCCGCACGACAAAAGCGACCAAGGACACCTGAGGCAAACTCGCCACCACGGTCTGAGTGAAGACGCAAGACAGGGAGACCACGATGGACACGCGTAGAGACAAGCCAGGGGATGAGAGCGCCAGGCACGTCGGCCTTGCGCTCCAGGGGAAAGACTGTGGTGTAGCGTGTGAAGACGTCGACAAGCACAAGGAAGTAACGCTCTCGACGCGGCCCAGGGACAGGGGCGGGGCCCCATACGTCCAGGTGCAGGGTCTGCAACGGCGCGGCGGTAGGGGGAAACGAGGAGGAGTGAGGGGCACGGCGAAGCCGACCCTCGACACAAGGCGTGCAAGGTGGGGCTGGGGAGGAGGGAAACGCAGGGAGAGAACGTGCGAGACCAAGGACAAGACCGTGCTGGGACATGTGACGCAGACACGGGAGCGCAGGGTGACCTAGGCGGTGGTGCCAAAGGAGAGTCGGGTGAGTGAGGGACCGACATGAGCAGGCAGCAGCAACCTGGGTAGACGCAGCCACCTGAGGAGGCGCCCCAGCCGGGGGGGTCACAGTGTCCAGAGTGAACAGGCCGGACACCGGGTCCCGGGGGAACGTGGACAGGGGGGCACCAGTGGCGGCCTCGGTACAGAAAGCATACCGCTCGTGCCCAGGGAACGTAGTGGTGACGCCAAGGTCCTGGAGGCAGCCGACACCAACTAGGTTCCTGGAGAACGAGGGGATATGCAGACCTGTAAGAGAGCCCGAAGGAACCGCCGGACAGGGAAGGGTGGTGGAACTGCGGGCGACTACCGGACCGCCAGAGGGGTCAGCGAGAGAAACGGCAGCAGGGACGGGAAGCGACGTCAGGGTGGTGGAGTCGCGGAAGAAACACCGAGAAACGCCAGAGTCCAAGGTGAAGGAAAGCGAAGCAGAGGCGTCTGGCGACGGAACGACGGCGGAAGCACGAAGGCTACACAAAGCAGAGGATCCTACGCCTGACGCAGCAGGGGAGGGTACACTAGGCACACCTACACTAGGCAACAGTGAGTATTAAGCGGGAAGCACACTAGAGTCATCAGCATACATCACATGCAGAGCAGAAACAATGGCATCCATGTCCATATCAAAGATCTGAATCTTACGACTAAGCAAACTGTGCCAGTCCGGGAGGTCTGGCGACGGGCCGAAGCGCTGACGAAAGAGGTCGTCCAGGCGACGAAAACAGCGGGGAGTGGAGTGATCGATCTTACCGCAAACGAATCCGCGGCGAGGACCGATCTGGATCTGGTACTGACAGCGCCCGCCGCCAGAGCTACCACTCGACACACCACCACGCGCCCGGCCACCGCCAGCGCCAGGCCACCCGGGCGAGAGGACACTCGTCTGCCGCGTCTGCGACGGCTGCGGCGGCTGCTGCGACGGCTGCGACTGCGGCGACTGCTGCGGCTGCTGCAACTGCAGGGGCGGCGGCTCAGCTGGACTGGCCAGGGTCCCCTCGTCCGCTCCAGCACCAGACGACCCGACCCCACCACTACCCCCTCCCGCACCCCCGCCGCCGCCTCCGCCGCGCCCAACCTTGGGGCGGCGGCCCTTCCCCGAACGAAACTGCGCTGCAGCAGCAGTCTCAGCCACTGCTACAGAGCCGTCGGAGAAGGTACACTGGGCGGGGGCACAACCCTGAAAGATAGGGACAGGCACGACACCGCTCGCCTGGGCGATGGAGCGGTGACGGGTCTCTATCACAGTCAGGGTGTCGACAAAGTCAGTGAGGGTGAGGTCTGCAGGGTGAACACTAAGGAAGCGGTCGCGGGCGACAGCTAGGCGGTCAGGGAGGCGGGTGGCAAGCAGGTAGAGGGTAGAGGTAATGGGCGGCTGGTGGGCTCTAAGCTGTGCGTCAGTGCAGGCGGCGCGCCAGGTCTCCTCTATCGAGCGCAGGTGGGCAGCGAGGTCAGAGACAGTGGGGAAAGAAGCAAGGTCAGGAAAGAGCATCGGGAGGATCAGGCGACCCACCGAGGCAGCCGGAGGGGTGGAATAGCGCTTGATGACAGCATCTAAGTATGCCTGAGCAGTAGTGAGGGACCTAAAGCGAGGACGCTCGGACGGGGGAGGGCGTTGCTAATGGCAAGCTGGGCGACAGCATCGCGAGAAAGCCAGACAGAGCGCGCACGGGCAGTGGCAGCAGTAGACTCACGCTCAGTGGGTGTGGGGTCAGCGGGCAGAATAGCAGGGGGGTCTGGGCAGGGGAGCGTACCGTCAAGGTGTGCAGAAAGCGGTTCACCATCCTGCCGCTGGCCAGTGAGTTGGCGGCGGAGGTCGGCAAGCCACGCCTCGAACTCTAGGGGCTGACCTTCAGCATCGAAGCGAAGCTCCGCCGCCATCAGGAACAGTCCAGTGCGGTGCAGGGCGGTGCAGTGCAGTGCGGTACAGTGCGGTGCAGTGCGGTGCAGTGCGGTACAGTGCGGTGCAGCGCGGTGCAGTGCGGTGCAGTGCGGTGCAGCGCGGTGTAGTGCGGTGTAAGGTAGTACAGTGTGGTGCGTGGCGGTACGGTGCAGGGCAGTGCAGGGCGGGGTGGGGGGGAACCGTACCAGTGAGGAGGACGGGGCCGGGGCAGCGGGGCCGGGCAGGTGCGACCGGGCCGGGCGAGGACGACGGGGCCGGGCGGGCGCGACGGGGCCGGGCTGGTGCGACAGGGACGGGCCGGGGCGACGGGGCCGGGCGAGCGCAACGGGGACGGGCAGGGGCGACGAGGCCGGGCGGGGGCGATAGGGCCGGGCCGGTGCGACGGGGCCGGGCGGGCGCGACGGGGCTGGGCTGGTGCGACGGGGCCGGGCGGATGCGACGGGGCCGGGCAGGGTGCGACAGGGCCGGGCGGGTGCGACGGGGCCGGGCGAGCAGGACGGGGCCGGGCTGGTGCGACGGGGCCGGGCTGGTGCGACGGGGCCGGGCGAGCGCGACGGGGGGCCCAGGAGGGGCGCTGCAGGGGCCCAGGAGGGGCGCGACGGGGCCCAGGAGGGGCGCTACGGGGCCCAGGAGGGGCGCGACGGGGCCCAGGAGGGGCGCTACGGGGCCTGGGAGGGGCGCGACGGTGCCCAGGAGGGGCGCTACGGGGCCTGGGAGGGGCGCGACGGGACCCAGGAGGTGCGCTACGGGGTCTGGGAGGGGCGCTACGGGGCCCAAGAGGGGCGCGACGGGGCCTGGGAGGGGCGCGACGGGACCCAGGAGGGGCGCTACGGGGCCTGGGAGGGGCACGACGGGGCCCAGGAGGGGCGCTAGAGGGCCCAGAAAGGGCGCGACGGGGCCCAGGAGGGGCGCGACGGGGCCCAGGAGGGGCGCGACGGGGCCCAGGAGGGGCGCGACGGGGCCCAGGAGGGGCGCTACGGAGCCCAGGAGGGGCGCGACGAGGCCCATGAGGGGCGTTACGGGGCCTAGGAGGAGCGCGACGGGGCCCAGGAGGGGCGCTACGGGGCCCAGGAGGGGCACGACGGGGCTTGGGAGGGGCGCGACGGGGCCCGGAAAGGGGCGCGACGGGGCCCAGGGAGGGGCGCGACGGGTCCCAAGAATGGGCGCGACCCGGCTAGGGGGGGTCGCGACGGGGCTAGGGGCGAGCGGAAGCGGTAGGTGGGGGGGGGGATCCTACCTACGCGTGATACCATATCAGAAATTGAAGTGAATGAATGTTAGAGAGAGGGTACACACAGATATACCTAAGTGTTGTACCCTCTAAGAGGCTACCCTATACAGTCTATACAAACATGACAAATACACATGTTTGACACATTAGCGAATAGGTACTTTTCGTAGAACTATAAATCTCTGTTTGGTCTTTTCATTATTAACTTTGATTACTCACAAGTTCACGTACTCAGGTTATTCAACCTTGACCTTTATATTTTACAAGACTTCCGCTGTCTTACTAGTCTACCATTCCAGCAAAGATCCTGGACAAATACTTGAGGATTTACCAAGTATTCTTGTTTATAGTTTTATACTTAGTCTACTACAACACCAGACGATTTACTTCAGTACTAACTAGAAGCACACAGCTAGGTTAGCCTATAACTTCTACATACAGCATATGTATAAGTTGACATACCGTATTCCCCCGGATAAAACACCCGCCGGAATTAATCACCCATGGGTGGTTTGGGCGGACCTGGGTGCTTTATTAAACTGGATATTCATACCACCCTAGTTTTTGGCATGAATCCTATACACCACCCCCCTTGTTCATTTTCACTGTATTTCTTTAGATTTTGCCTCTTATCAGAGTGTCTCTTATCAGACTCGCGCGTCACTGAGCAGTGCAAGCTCGACGCGAATCGGTTCAATGCGGTGTAGAGCTGTTACCATGCCTGGAATTCTCGTCACTTAGGCGAATGTTGCGAGTCTGATACAGTACGAGGCTCATGGGAACACACTCCTCACAGTCAACACTGCAGCGCGGGAGAATCCATGTCGGTCACCATATACGCGATCACGTGCAAGAATCGTCAAAATTCGGCACAAAAGAACTGTCTACAACACAGTTGAATTCCAGCTCATAAACATAAAATTGTCATTCCATAGCTCCCGGGCGTTATACAAAAAGTGCCACTAATTACACCCCCATTAAAATTTGCATCAAAATTTAGTGCCACCCGTGGGTGTTTTATCTGGGGGAATACGGTAGGAGTGTGGAGCACCTAGGGTGGAAGCGTGGAGGCTAGGACCTAACTGTCAGAAACCCAGTCACTAACCACTGGATGATACCATGTTAAACTTAGGGAATTAATGATGCTGCACGATAGGGTTCCTATATGTGTGTCTGCCTTAGTTAGCCTACAGTACATGCAAATACGCACGCTAACAGATATATAAAAAATAAACATTTAGGTGACTCTGGTAATGTTATAACAAAAGCATATGAAGGTGTATGGCTGCTTGCCAGCACAGTATGCAGGTGGGAAATTTTTGTAGCCGACCTTTAGCCTTATCCAGGTGTAAGGAGCATAAATGGAGGAACAGGAGCAGGATCAGGAGCAGGAGCAGGGGCAGGAGCAGGAGCAGGAGGAGCAGGAGCAGGAGCAGGAGCAGGAGCAGGAGCAGGAGCAGGAGCAGGAGCAGGAGCAGGAGCAGGAGCAGGAGCAGGAGCAGGAGCAGGAGCAGGAGCAGGAGCAGGAGCAGGAGCAGGAGCAGGAGCAGGAGCAGGAGCAGGAGCAGGAGCAGGAGCAGGAGCAGGAGGAGGAGCAGGAGGAGGAGCAGGAGCAGGAGGAGGAGCAGGAGGAGGAGCAGGAGCAGGAGCAGGAGGAGCAGGAGTAGGAGCAGGAGGAGGAGCAGGAGGAGCAGGAGGAGGAGCAGGAAGAGGAGCAGGAAGAGGAGCAGGAGGAGCAGGCGGAGGAGCAGGAAGAGGAGCAGGCGGAGGAGCATCGTCCATGATGGCTACGACACCAGCGTCATCAGCGGTAGTAGAAGCTCCAGTACAGCGACAGAGACAGCTGCCAAGCTTGAACATTGACCGCCAGAAAAACCAGGCGCACATGCATCCCTTGCGATCTCGTTCTTACGAGCACCCCCCCTTCTCATCCACCTTCTGATGTGTCCAAAACCTACCTCCCTACCTTTCCCTACCACTTGTTGCTCACCGTCAACATCGCATATACCACTTCCCACCCATTCTCATCTTCCTCCTCCCCCCTCTCCAACACCAGCTGCAATCCTCTCCTCATCTCCCCACACTCACAACCCCCTCCCATCCTCACTACCTACCACCTCCTCCTCCCCCTCCTCCTCTCCCACGCTCTCTTCCCCCAGCAGCTCCCGCCTAAGGCCCCTTACCGCCCGCGCCACAGCATCAGAGTCCGGCCTCTCTCCAGGGTCCTTGGCCCAGCACACCTCGATCAGCCGCCTGAGCCCCTCGGGGCACCCCATGGGGATAACCGGCCGCAGCCCGTTCAGCGCCACTGCCACTGCCGCTTGTAATGGCGAGTAGCTCTCGTACGGTAACCGTGCAGTGAGCAACTCCCAGAGAATGATCCCGAAACTGTAGACGTCGCTCCGGGGGGTGATGGACCACTGCCCCGTGGTGCCGAACGCCTCAGGCGCCATCCAGCGATACGTGCCCACCTCCTTGGTCATCTCCGCACCGTCGCCCACCAGCCTCGCCACGCCAAAGTCTCCCACCACCGCCCGCCCTTGCTCGTCCAGCAGCACGTTGGCTGTCTTGAGGTCGCTGGGGGGGAGGAGGCGGAGAGTGATATGAATGGGGTGAAGGAGGGGGGGACGGGGAAAATGAGGGAAAGTGAGGGGGGTGAAACGAATGAGAGAGCGGACATGCGAGAGCAGGGGAAGAGGAAGCAGAAGAGGTTGGGAATCTGGCCATCTGAGCCTGACTTCCCCCACACAAGCAAACAATCAAGAGCAAAACCAGCTGCCACCTGAACTTCCCTCTCCCCTCGATCTCTTTCCTTCCCCCCCCCACCACCCACGCCTCACTCCCACCAACCCACTCACCGGTGGATGATCCCATGGCGGTGCAGGAACCTCATCCCCAGCGCAATATCCATTGCAATCCGCAGCAGCTGCGGCAGCGGCAGCCCCACGCCATTCCTCCTCCTAAGCAGGTCGTGCAGGTTGCCCCCCGGCATGAGGCGCGTCACGATGCACATGCGGCGCCGCACGTCCACGCACACGCCGTGGAAGCGCAGCAGCTGCGGACAGCGCCGCCCGCACGACACCATGGCCACCACTTCCCTCCGGAACTCCGCCCGCGCTGTTGAGAACGCACACCCGCTGCCAGCAGCAGCAGCAGCGCCACCGCCACCACCAGTGCCACTGTTGCTATTGATTAAGTTTGGTTGGATCTTGGCATGACCAGCGGCGGCAGCAGCAGGGGGAATAAGGGCAGCAGCAGCATCTGCTGTTCCCCCAGCGTTACTGCTGGCAGAATCTGCCAGCATTTGCCTTCCACCAGCTCCCCACTTCCTTCCTCCCTTTCCTCTCTCTCCTCCCCTTCCACCACCCGCACCCGCCACTCCGGCCACTCCGGCCACTCCCATCCCACCACCCATTTCCACCCCTGCTGCATCTCTCCTCACCTCGGCCTTCAGAATCTTCACAGCCACAGGCTCACCACCATACCGGCCTCTCCGAACCTCCCCCGAGGCACCTTGGGCGATGAGTGGGCCCAGCTCCAGGCGCAGGGGGTCCAAGAGGAAGTGGCCCAGCTGCTCCCTCATGAGCCCTCGCTCTGACAGCAGCAGCTGGAGGAGACTGGAGAGGGGGGGTGAGGCGGAGGAGAGGGAGAGCGAGGAGGCAGGGAGAGATGGAGAGGGGGAGGTGGTGGCGGAGGAGGAGGAGGAGGAGGAGGAAGTGGAGGATGAAGAGTTGGAGGAGGGAGTGGAACAGGGGATGGTTGGAAGTGAAGACGCCATGGGAATGTTAGTGCAGGTGATTGTACCGGCAGCAGCAGCGTCAGCAGCAGCATTTGCAGGCGCAGGCGCAGCCGCGGGCGAAGTGGAAAAAGGCAGGGGAGTGCAACCAACTGAGGAACAAGCTACTGCAAGCCCCTGTTGCCCAACATCCATGCAAGCCTCTTGTGCCACAGGAGTGGGCAAAGGAGCGATGGGACACAGTGCATTCGGCTGCAGGCTGGAGTCGCCAGCAGCAGGGGCAGAAAGGGCAGCAAGGCCAGCACGGGCAGTGTGTGAGGCTGTGTGTGCGCCAGTGGCTTCATTGCCACATGGCACTCCGAAATCACGGTCTCCCGTGCTTGCTGCACTCTCACCTCCCTTGCACCTGCCGCCATTCCCCCCTGCCCTTTCTGTACCCCCTGCCTCAACATGGCATGCACCCAGCACTCCCACGCTCGTTGCTCCTCTTCTTACTGCTGCTGCTGCCCCAACTGCTCCTGCTACTGCCCCTCCTGCTGCACCAGCTAACGTGGGCCCCTCAGCTATTTCTCCTGGAGCTCTACACGCCACTTGAAACCGCCCCACCTCCTCTCCGCCTCCATTCCCTCCTCTCCCCTCGCCCCCACCCTGCCCGTCTTCACGTGTGCCACCAGTCCCTGTGCCTGCACAATCAGCAGCCCCTCTCTCCGCGCCACCACGCCCTAGTAAGCCATCCCCATCGCTACCCTCATCTACCGTGTCTCTCAGAGCCCTTCCCCAACAACCACTGCCGCCTCCCACCGACCCTCTCCCTGCCTCTAGTCCCTCGGGCCCCGCACAGCCCTGTATGGGGCCTAGTTCCCTGTGTGCCACAGGAGAGCCTATGGACAACACATGCGACTTCTGGGTTGGCGTGGCGAGCAGACAGGCAGGAATTGGCATTGCCATTGCCTGTTCACAAGGCGTGGTAGCAGGGCTTGTTTCAATAGCGTTTGCTAGCACTGGCTTTGCAGCAGTTGCGGCAGCACCTTGTGATACGTCTCCTGCCTCTTCCTTGTTGCTACTGCACGCTGCTTCAAACCCACTCGTACTGCCAGCCACACGACTGTTGCTGCTGCTGCTGCTGCTACTGCTGTTGCTGCTACTGCTGCCACTGTTAACACTGCTGCAAGTGCCACTGCCCCCCCCCTTACTGCTGCTGGCACTCCCCCCACCCCAGCCACCACTGAAGCCTCTGTTGCTGCTGCTGCTACTGGCTGTGAGGGGAGACCAGCCGGATCCCCCTCTGCCTACAAAGGACAGTGGCCCCCGTCTGTGACTGCTGGCGCCATGAGAACTGCAGGTGGCCGCAGCAGCACTGGAGGGAGCCTCAGCACAAGTGGAAGACGCAGCACCAGGAACAGCAGTACCAGCAGCAGCTGCAGCACCAGCTGCAGCAGCAGGGACAGTAGAAGCGAGCTCAGGACGATTGGACACGCCAGAGTCCTTTGGTGCTTCCTCCTTCCACGACTCCACCCCCTTCCCTCCCCCTGCTCTCCCTTCCTCCCGCACCTCCTCATCCTCCCACACTGAGAACGCCCCTCTCCCCCAGCTGAACCCCCCCCGGGCGCTCCCTGCACTGCAAGTGCTGCTAACGCTGCCATCCCCCTGCCCCCCATACACCCCTTGCGGCGACCATATCCCGCTGCTGCCTCTTCTGCCGTTCCCCCCTGCGCCTCTCCCTTGCTGGCCCGACCAGCGCCAGAGGGAGGAGAGAGAGAGCGCAGATGCAGAGCCCCGGATTCCTCCCATGCCCACACCCAGGCGCATGCTGCTGCTGCTGCTGCTGCTGCTGCTGCCCCTGCTGCGGATGCCACGTGTGCTGCTGCTGCCACCTCGGCCGCTTCTGCTGCATGCATTCAGATCCTGCTGCCAACCACTCGCTCGTGCCTCTTTCTCATCCGCTCTAGCTGTCTCTGCGCCTCCGCCCACTGCTGCGGCGCCGGCTTCTCCAAGCCCAGCAGCAGCAGCAGGAGCAGAGGCGGCAGCAGAGGCAGTGGCAGCAGCGATAGCAGCGGGGATCCGCTCCTCCCATGCGGGGCCCGCTGGCAGCAGCAGGGACGCCACGCCAAGCGTGCAGCCAGCAGGGCGAGAGGTCCAGGTGAGCAGAGGAACGCACATCACCGCCTGCACCCACGCACGCACAGCACCCTCTGCCTCCTCCTGCTGCTGCTGCTGCTGCTGCTGCTGCTGCTGCGACTCTTGGTTCCCGCTGCCCCCATCGTTCTGTTCGTTCTGCTGCTTGATCTGGTCGCGCCCGTCCTGTGATAACCTAGATGCAGACTCCAGCTCGCCCCCCTGGACCGCTCGTGAGAGCGCGTTGAGCAGCAGAGGGTAGCACACGTGGTGCCTGCAGGCAAACCGCACGTCCACATGAACCATCGACGCTGCACACTGCCCCGACCCTTGTGCTCCTGCTGTTGCTGCTGAGGATACGCTTTTTTCTCCTCCTGCTCCTGTTGCACAGTCCCTTCTGGGCAATGTCACGGATTCTGCTGCGCTGCTACCCCCTGCGCTGCTTCCCCCTGTGCCGCGTGCCGCACAGACATCCCCACGCGCTGCTGCCCCTCCCTGCCTCTCTGCACCTGCTCGCTCTTCTCTGCTCCTCCGTTTCTCGCTTTCTTCCATCCCTGCTCCCCCCCCACCTGCTCCATCACCTGGGAAACCCAGTCTCGCCAGACCTGCAGACTCTCTACTGCCTAACGCTCCTCCGAGCAGCCCTAGCACAGCTATCTCTCCAGAGCTTGCCTTCCCCCCCACTGGTTCCACTCCCCCCACGATACCCACGTGCTCCCCGGACTGAGGCACGGAGCTCGACAAGCCCACTGACACCCCCTGGGCTGGAGGAGCGTATCCCTGCCATGAGAAGAAGAGCCCACCATAGCCATTGCTGCTGCTGCTGCTGTTGCTCCTCATGCCAACGCCGCCACTGGCAGCACCAACGCTGGCACTGGTCGCACTGCCACTGCCGCTGTCACGGGCATCAGCACTGGTACCAGCACTGCCAGTGCTTCTTGAAGCTCCGTCAGTTACCCCAGCGTCAAATCCCCCATCAGCAGCAACAGCTGCAGAGCTGCCTGCAGCATCACCACCCATGACACACCTACAGCACTCACTGTAGCCGCTGCCACCGCCGCTGCCACTGCCGCTGCCACTGCCGCCGTCACTGGCGCTGCCTTTGGCGCTGCCGCTATGGTGTGGGCGCAGCGTGATTGCGACCGGGGGCTTGCCAGCAGGCAGGCGTGCGGCAGATGCGAGGAGGTCCCTGTGGAGCACCACCTCCCAGGGGGGCACCGCTAGAGCAGCCGTCACATAGCTGTGGGGGAAAGGGAGGGGGGAGGGTGGGGAGGGAGAGAGTGGTGTGGGTCTATTTCTGAGGCGCCTAAAAAAGGCAGGCAGCCACGCGGCATACGTGAGGAGTTCCCTAGGGAGCACAACCTCCCAAGATGGCACCGCCAGGGCAGCCGTCACATAGCTGTGGAGGGAGGGGGTGGGGAGGGTGGGGGAACCAGTGGGTTTGGAAGTGGTGTGGGGAGAGGGTGTGGGGGTAGGGAGAGTGGGGCAGGGCGGGTGGAGGGACGGGGAGGTGGGGGAGAGACTGGTGGAGGGCACGCGAGGTGAGGGAGGGGAGCACGCCAAGGCAGGAAGGCGGAACGAGACAAAGGAATTGGGTGGACGCAGAGGGTACAGGAGAGGAGACGGCATAAGGGAGGAAGAAGAGGCGACAGAGAGAAGGGGACATGATCAGACGAGGGGGGCCACGGAGCCCCCTGAGGCATCCTCGTGCGGAACTGGAAAACTTTCTGAAGCTGGCAGGCCTACATGGCGGGCTTATGGCGGACTTATGGCGGGCTTATGGCGGGCTCATGGCGGGCTCATGGCGGGCTCATGGCGGGCTCATGGCGGGCTCATGGCGGGCTGGAAATCCACTGTAAGAGCGCTAGCAGGCACGCGCATGAGTCGGGACTGATCAGCTTCAAATACCACAGCTCGGATCGCTAATGGGGAACTCACGAGGACGGCAGGCTGTGGAAATGCGCTTGCAACGAGTCCACCAGGCTTTCGGTCACTGCAGCTGCCGCGGCCCCTTGCTCCCCCTGAACCATCCCTCCAGCTAGCCTCACATCTTCCCCGCGTCCATTCGCCCCACCACTCCGAGAGATTCCATTGCCGCTGTTTTCCCCCGCACCGCCCCTCAGCCGCGCCACCACCACTTCCCACGCCGCCTCCTTCACCCGCGCCTCCAGAAAGCTCCCCTCCCGCATCCTCCCGCCCCGCACCCGCCCCTCCCCACATCGTCCCTCAATCTCCGCCTCAAACATCCCCCCTGAAGCATCTCCCCCCCTTGCGCTTGCTGCCCCGCCCCCGCCACTACTACTTCCCCGTGCCAGCCAGCCTTTCCCCCCCCCATCTCTTCCCGCAACCTGCGCGTTGCCCCCCTTGCTGCTCCGCGGCCAAAGCGCCCCCAGCGCGGCGGGGAACCCTCTCCCCGTCCTGCGCTGCGCTGCGCTCCCCCCGCCCCCCAAGCCTCCCCCGAAGCTCCCGCCGAAGCTGCTATTCGTGCTCGCACTGTTGGTCGATCTCGGGCTCAGGCTCGAACTCAGGCTCGGGCTCGGACTCCACACCGAGCTACGCCGGGAGCTGTGGCTCGGCCCGAGGCTGGGTGTGGGGCTCGGCAGAGGGCTGAAGCTCGGGCAGGGGCTGAGACGGGGGGATTCGTCGGGGAGGCGGAACGGCAGGGAGAGGGGGGAAAGCCATGGGGGGGGCGCTGGGGCGGTGATGGGGGGGTTTCCGCCGGGGGCGCATGCCAGCGGGAAGGCCTGCGCGGCCGGCAGGACGGCAGGCGAGGTGTCCGCGAGGGTTCTGGACGGCAGCAGGCAGTGGCAGGTGGCGCACGTGGGGCAATCGGCGGAGCGCGCGAGAGCAAGCCATGACGATGCGGCCAAGCCGGGCAGCGTGATCGCGCTCGCCGCTTCGGCTGCTGACGCGCCTCCCGCGGCGGTGGACGGGAACAGAAACGGCACCTTGGGACCATCGCTGCTGCTGCTGCTGTGGCCTGTGGAGAGGTTGAGTGCAGCTGTGCTTGTGGAAGGTGGTTCCGCACCGTTGCTGCCACCGGCGGCGCTAGCGCTGGCAGCGCCACCAGCGGTAGCGTCGCTGGTAGTGCATGCAGGTGCCGGTGCGCCGTCACGCATCATGCTGCCGCTGCTGGTGCTGCCATGCGATGACGACGCTCGGTCGTAGCTCGGACGCATGTGCATGCCCACGCTGCTAGATCCGCGGAAGCGATTGGGATCTTGGCGATGCCTCGGCCTTGCAATGGCATCGGGTCGCTACTGGGGTAGCGACGAACCGTGCTAAGCTACGTTGCCAGGGCGCAGATCTCGCCGGGTACCATGCTCACCAGGTTCGCGCGAAGATTCACGATGACTCGCGAAGGTTCGCGAAGAGTTTGTGACACGAAGAGAGGTAGTTGATATACAGGAGAGGTAACTACACAAAACGGGGAAGGTGGCAACCTGGCCTGGACACCGGCCATCATTCAATCGAGCCACTACACACGTAGTAGATCAGGGCAACCTTTCCCTTGGTTTCGAAAGTAGGAGCGTCTGCTGGTGTGCGAACTTTTCCTTCGTGTCGATGAATCGGTACCACAGTTGAGCATTTGTCCGTCGCGAGCACAAGCGAGCAAAAACTGAAATCTGTCGGTGACCGCGCTCGGCCTCGCCGCCGCCAAAATCCGTGTGTGCCAGCTTCTCCGTCCGTCCTTCGTGCCTTGGGAATTGGTTATTTGCACGGGCTGGTGAACATCCCCTAACGGTGTTGCTTGCTGCCCGTGAAAATGGAACACAAACTCACTCTCCCGGCACTGGTGTGTGGTGGAGGCAAGCAGGCACTGGCTGAAAACTCCCGAGAAATCCGTGCGCAACACCCCAATTACACTGGCAAACCAGCAGGCCCTGGCCTAACTCCGAACCTATGGGAAGCACTTCCATTGAGAGTAGCCCACGTGCTGGCGCGCAGCCGGACATGAATCTAAGAAAGGAAGTTGGAAGTTTTTTGGGTTGCGGAGCAACCTATTACGATCGATCGTATGAGATTTTTTTTCAAGTTTTATCAAGGTTTATGAAAAAAAATGATATTAATTGAAGCTAGGAGCATTGACAATATATTGTGGATGACTCATCTAAACTACATAGCTTCATTAGCTTAGCTTGGCAAATAATTGAAACGTATCATATCACTACTATAACATAATACTTGAAACGAAACAATGATGGAAAATAGTTCATGTTTTCCATCATTTCGCGATGTGGAAGGAAGTAATTGAAACGTATAATATAGTGTAATGTAGTAATTACACTATAGTATAGGAAAATATAACAAAATAATGGAAAAAAATGTAAATGTTTTCCCATCATTTCGCGTGGCGTATTTTCGTCGACAACAAAAATAGGCAATCGCTTCCCCAGCTAAGTGGGGGAAGTTGAAAGCCTAATGGACATATCACACATTTTTTTTTTAGGCAATGCACTTTGCGATTGCAATAAAATAGATTGCACTTATCATCTCCAGTTCAATTGACTGCACTCAAGGTGGAAAGTCAAAGAACCTTACAAGAGACGATCAGTACAATATTTTTTATTGCATACACAAAATGCACTACCCATGTATCAAGCAAGCAGTAGAAGAATGGAGAAGGGCAGCAACACACAAAAGGCAGCGACACAACACTTGGACCCAAAAATGCATCACGAGAAAGAAAGGCGACAAGTAGAAGCAACTGAAACATGCTATGTGATGTAGCAGCCTACTGTAGCTAAAAAGCACAGTTGGAATCCAGAGATCCTTTCTAACAGCATTCCTGAAGCACCAACAAACGTGGAAAAAAAAAAAGAGAACATGAAAAGAACACAAGTTTAGTTGAGAAAACAATGCATGGTAGAACTCGGAAAATGGAAATGAGAGGGGCAAGGAGAGAGAGGGAGGTAAAGGACAAGAGGTAGAGAGGTAGAGAGAGAGAGGTTTAGAGAGAGAGGGCAAGAAAGGTACAGAGAGAGAGAGGTGGGGCGATAGAGGTAGAGAGAGAGAGAGAGAGAGAGAGAGAGAGAGAGAGAGAGAGAGAGAGAGAGAGAGAGAGAGAGAGAGAGAGAGCGAGAGAGAGAGAGGGGGGGGGGGGGGCAGAGAGAGTGAGCGGGGCATTGAGAGAGAGAGAGAGGTGAAGGACGAGCGGGAGAGAGGTAGAGAGAAAGGGGTAAAGAGAGAGAGGGCGAGAAAGGTAAAGAGAGAGAGAGGTAGGGCGATAGAGGTAGAGAGAGAGAGAGAGAGAGAGAGAGAGAGAGAGAGAGAGAGAGAGAGAGAGAGAGAGAGGGGAGGGCAGAGAGAGTGAGGGAGAGAGGGAGAGAGGTAGAGAGAAAGGGGTAAAGAGAGAGAGAGGTGGGGAGAGAGAGAGAGAGAGAGAGAGAGAGAGAGAGAGAGAGAGAGAGAGAGAGAGAGAGAGAGAGAGAGAGAGAGAGAAAGAGAGAGAGAGAGAGAGAGAGAGAGAGAGAGAGAGAGAGAGAGAGAGAGGAAAGAGAGAGAGTGAGAGAGTGAGAGAGAGGAAAGAGAGAGTGAGAGAGAGAGAGAGAGAGAGAGAGAGAGAAAGAGAGAGAGAGAGAGAGAGAGAAAGGGGGGGGGTGGGGGGGGGGGGGGGGAAGACTAAACGAACTAAAGAAAAGAGTACGAAACTAGTAGAGCGATGATGTAAATGAGAGGAAAATGATAGAGAAGTATAAGCAAAATGAAGAAGCAGCAAGGAGAGGTGACGACGAATTGCAAGAGAGCGCGAGAAGAGTTGTAGGAACTTGCCTTCCAACGACTAGCGCATCTGCAGGTAGTAGTAATGCGCCATCCACAGCTGACACACCGGCAGCAATCGGCGACAGCACGGCAGAGCGCCAGGGCGCCAAGGCGACAGCACGCCAGTGCGACAGCACGCCTGGTTGCCAAGGCGCCAGTGGGCCAGCGCACCAGGGCACCAGCTCGCCAGGGCGATAGCGCGCCAGGACGCCAGCGCGCCTGCGGGCTAGCGCGCCTGGCGCCCCAATGCTCCAGGGCGCTACTAGCGCCAGGGCGACAGCGCGCCAGGTCGACAGCGCGGCTGGGCACCAAGGCGCCAGCGGGCCAATGCGCCAGGGCGCCAGCTCGCCAGGCGCCAGCGGGCCAGCGCGCCAGGCACCCCAGCGCCCCACGGCGCCAGCGCCAGGGCGACTGCGCGCCTGGGCGCCAAGGCGCCAACAGGCCAGCGCGCCAGGGCGCCAGCTCGCCAGGGTGCCAGCGCGCCTGGCGTCAGCGCGCCAGGAGTCAGGCGTCGCGCGCTGGTGCCACACGCTGTCGCCACGCGCACTGGCGCTAGGAGCCAGCGTGCATGGCGCCAGCGCCCATGGCGGTAGTGCTGGCGAAAGCTGGCAGCAGCTAGTCTAGCATAGGTTACGCTGTGGTTAGGAGGTAGGTAGAAGGAAGAAACAGGTGAGAGCGAAGACGAAAAACAAGCAGTCACCAAGCACCAACAAGTGCCAGCTTGGCACGAGCACACCCTGGCAGGAGTGTGCTCTCAGCCACAAAGCTAAACTACATGTCATGTCAAACCAAAAGCATTTCAAGTGTAACACAAGATAAGATATTAGGCATTTCTACAATCCAAGTTCGCTATGGCTATGCGTCAACTCAATACATTTCTACAATTTCAACAAATTTAGAGATTGCACGAATGTCTACATATTATATCTACTTAATTAGATCTTGTCTTATATTTATAGCATTCCCTCATTTACTTGAATAATCATAATAAGTAAAAATATAATGAAAACTACATATATTGATTTTTTTTATTAAGAGCTCCGCAACCCTAAGACGATATCATCGCCCCTTGTTTATTTTATGGTGGCAACCAAAAATCACAGTACAGGCAACAGCTATGATCTAAAGATCAAGGTTGAAACTCAACCTGGACAAAATCATGCTAGCTGCCTAGCATTACATGATAGTATGGGCGCTCACATGTGTCAAACATGTGTATCTGTTATGTTTGCATAGACTGTATAGGGTCACTGCTTAGAGGGTACAACACTTAGGTATATTCACGTGTACTCTCTCACTACTCAATCATTACTCAATTCTAAGATGGTATCAGCAGTAGGTAGGTCCCGCCGCCCGCCCATGCTTCCGCCCTAGGCCCTAGCCTCCCCCCCGCCCGTCCTAGCCGCGCCCGCGCGCCCGTCCTAGCTGCGCACGCCACGCTCATCCAAGCTGGCCCCCGCGCCCGTCCTTCCGGCCCTCGCGCCCGTCCTAGCTGGCCCCCGCGCCCATCCTACTGGCCCCCGCGCCCGTCCTCACGGCCCCCGCGCCCGTCCTAACGGCCCCCCCGCGCCCGTCCTAGCTGGCCCCGCGCCCGTCCTACTGGCCCCCGCGCCCGTCCTTACCGGCCCCGCGCCCGTCCTAGTCGGCCCCCGCGCCCGTCCTCACGCCCCCCCGCGCTCGTCCTAACGGCCCCCGCGCCCGTCCTAGCTCGCCCCGCGCCCGTCCTAGCTGGCCCCGCGCCCGTCCTAGCTGGCCCCGCGCCCGTCCTCACGGCCCCCGCGCCCGTCTTACCGGCCCCCGCGCCCGTCCTTACCGGCCCCGCGCCCGTCCTAGCGGCCCCCGCGCCCGTCCCACCGGCCCCCGCGCCCATCCTAGCCAGCCCCACGCCCGTCCTAGCGGCCCCTGCGCCCGTCCTACCGGCTCCTGCGCCCGTCCTAGCCGGCCCCCGCGCTCGTCCTAGCTGGCCCCCGCACTCGTCCTACTGGCCCCCCGCGTGCCGTCCTAGCCGGCCCCGCGCCCGTCCCAGGCCCCTCCTCGCCGGCCCTGCGCCCGTCCCACCTGGCCCCTGCACTCGTCCTCGCCGGCCCGGCGCCCGCCGCTACTGGCCCCCGCGCCCGTTCAGCCGACCCCTGTGCGCGCCCTGCCCGTCGATCTCCGGCCCTGTGCTCACCTTCCCGCCGGACTGCCGCCGATCTGCGTGCGGCCCGCTCTTCGTGCCTGCTCCTGCACTGCACCCTCCCTGGTACGGCTCTCCATCACTTTGCACTGCACTGCACTCCCTGCACCGCACGGCACCGCGCTGCACCGCACTGTACCGCCCTGCACTGCACTGTACCGCCCTGCACTGCACTGTACTGACCTGCACTGTTCCTGATGGTGGCGGAGCTTCGCTTCGACGCTGAAGGCCAGCCTCTGGAGTTTGAGGCCTGGCTAGCTGACCTCCGCCTCCACCTCACTGGTCAGCGGCAGGATGGCCACCCGCTCTCGGCACATCTTGACGGTACGCTTCCCTGCCAAGTCCCCCCTGCTGTCCTGCCCGCTGACCCCACACCTACTGAGCGCGAGTCTACTGCGGCCGGTGCCCTTGCTCGCTATGTCTGGCTTTCCTGTGACGCTGTCGCCTAGCTTGCCATTAGCAATGCCCTCCCCCCGTTTGAGCGTCCTCGCTTTAGGTCCATCACCACCGCCCAGGCTTCTTAGACGATGTTATCCGGCGCTATTCTGCCCCGCCTGCTGCCTCGGTGGGTCGCCTGATCCTA